TGCCATTCAATTCCCATCTTCATCACTATTATCCACCCAACCTGTAGGGTTTCCATTTTCCACATATCCTTGGGCTTTGGAACTTAGTTCTATGGCCGTGATTAATTTTTCCTGTCGGTTGTTGGGCCTAAGAAGACAGGAGATTGATGTCCAATCATTGATCTGTCACCTGTGTATGAATGCCTAGATTCTCGAAGGTTCACAAGTTACTTATTCCTCAATCTGAGTTGACATTTTTGTCCCATCTGCACATTGCCATAGTTGTAGTGTACCACCACTATCAGTGTTTTCTGTGCAGAAGGGTCAGGTCCTGCAGTTTTGGGTTTTTACATTTGGACTCACATCAGCTTCACATATGTTCTGCTTTATTGTATGAGGTTTTTCTTGTGACCTCCATTCCATCACACTGTGCACACGCCATTCCATAGATGACTGGTTGCTGGTGGCATCATCTCGTCCCTTGTCAGAACATCACATCCTGATTCTTCTTCTTTCAGAAACAATCAAGACAGGCTTCATTCTCAGGGCTGAGACATCTATTCTTTCTCCAATTTAATATGTTATCAGTGTGGGTATTTTTTTCATCTTGTTTCTCAGTCAAGCTCAACTGACTCCCCTTCAGCTCCATGCTATGGAACAGGAGGCCCGACTCTTATCTCTCTTCTCCTACTACATAGATGGTTCTTTCTCTTCTGGGCATGTGGGTATCACTCGCATCCATCATGCCTTTGGGATGAGAGCACAATTAATTCTTTTAATGGTCTTTATGGTTTGTGCTGTTTATCTATAGACTGCTTTCTCATTCTATTTGTATCCTTAGACTGATCCTTCTTACCCAACACACTGTTAGACAGGGAAGGGGATAAATCCTTTTCACCGATTCACATGGTCACTATATTTCTATGTCCAATCAGATTTTGATTGTAGTCAAGTTCAGTGAGGGTCTTGAAGGTTTTGTTGGTTGCCTTACCTCGTTTTCATAGGACCCTACTCTGTAGTGAGTGTTGCTTCGGCAGGTGTGATCTTAGTAAACCAATTCTGCGCTAGCAAACACTAATTCAATTTTCTTTATTCAGGTTGCAACAGACTCTGTAGAAATGAGATGTTCCATAAGATCATCTAGAGGCTGACTGGAGTGGTATTACTGATTCTACTACTGGAGCTAGGGAGTCTCTACTACACCCAGTTTCCAGTCACTGGCATGGTGGACAGAGGCTTTTCCTCCAAAGCATTGTTTCTTGAGAAATGAAGGTTAATATGTGGCCCTATTTAAGTTTACAAAATTTGGGGGATTGATAAGATAAAGGTTTCTGATTTTTTTGTCCTTTATTCTGAAGGCAATTGGACACAAGTTTTTAGATTTGGAAAAGAGTAGCTAGGCTCCAGTTAAGCCAGCTTTTATTTTTCTAATAAGGTGATTAGGTTATAGAATGAATTGCTGTCAGTAGTAGTTAATTTCAGAATCTTATAAGAGACTAAGAGGGGATGATTTCCTGAAATATAAATGAGGGGATATTAATTTTTACTTTTTTTTACAGGGGTTGGTGTCTATAATGCTATGTTATAGGATTAATATATTACTGTAGTGTAATGTGTGAAGTTATGGAAGCCATGAAATGTTAATATGATATAACTGAATGAAACAACACAGGGTAGATTTTAAAATACAAGATATTATTCATGACAAGAAATATCTTATTTTTTCTTCCAATTTTGAACATTTATACAACTAAATTTATTGTCACTGGTTTGTTTCCCTGAGATATAATTATTTTTTGCAAGCCATACAATGTATACAGCAAAGTTGCATTCAACTGCTGGAGGCAGACTGTACTCTACATGACAAATCAACAATCAATGGGTTAAGGAAGACTTTTATAGTAACAAAAATATTATGGTTATTTAGACATTTTTTTTTATCGTGTAGATTTTTTTGTCAATTAAATTTTTCTTTTATTTTTGAATGTGAAAAAGCACCTTATATTTGAAATTTATAAATAATGACCTAAAGAATGTCATCCAGAGTACAGACTTTGAAATAATGATTAAATGATCTGAAATCTGGGAGTTTACTAAATATCAACACTAAATGGAAGAAAGACTAGTACACAGGAAATTAAAGTATTTTCATTCAATGCATTGATGAAATAACTTAAAGGGCTTAAATTTAGAATTAGAGGAAAATTTATAATTATTAGATATCAATATAATAGTTGTAATTCACAAAGTTACTGTGTATCACAATGAATTCTTGGAAATATTATGAAACATTAAGAAAAAAAATCAAAGATATAAAAACAAAGTTAAGAATGTACTTTATATCAATGCATGAAAGAAAGTCTTCCTTTTGAGTCCCTTAAATGCTAAGCACTACAACCTTTTTTCTGTAAAGCATTATTATGCAAAATTTTTTCATAGGATGGTGTGTGTGTGTTTGTACATTAGTTTTAGTTTATTTTCTAGTTATGTTTTAGTAAAAATATTTTCTTATAAATTTATTTTGATTTATATTTTTATTAACTGCAGATAGGTTATATAAAAAAAAATTTGAGACTAGAATCAAGTACTACATGTACACATGCACAAAGATGCTGGCTATAAAGGCTGTTTGCCTTACCGTAAATTTCAAGTCTAATCTTATACATTGTACAAGTACATAAAGAACAGCTGCTGTATGCTTTTCAAGTTTAATTTATTTTGCTTGAAAATTAGTATTGTAATAAATTAATGTTATTGGAACACTTTTTTTATTATGGTATGTAATAGGTACTGCTGAAAAGAGTAAGTTAACCCTTTCATACACGAGTTAAGTATTTATACTATAACCTTTAATGCAGTAAGTGCACCTTCACAAGATTTGGTAGACTTTTAGTAAAGATTACAAGTCTTTTGTACACAAAAAAATCAGATTTTTCAATGAAGTATTTTTATTATAGATTTGTTTGTAAAAATATGGAGTCTGTTTCGTTACCAGTCCAAGTGGGAAGTGATTTTCATGTTATAACTAAAAAACTATTGTTCATCCAAAAAAATCTCAAATATTATTTATGTAATCTCTAAAACCTCTTAATTCATTTCAAATGTTTGTTTGTAATAAAACTTTATACTTTTTCTGTTATTTTCTCTATCCTAACTCTATGGGGTTTGTCAATTTGACTGGCCTCGTAACCACCATTACAAATGAGGAAATATAAATTATGCTTTTTTCATTCTAGAATGACTACAGATTGTAACACGAAAACACAAACGTTTAGTCTAAATATTTTACATCTCATAACATTATACATTTACATGTATTTATTTTTATTATATTGGCCTTTCAGCCATGCCTGGCTAACAATACGGAAGTTACAATGATGCGGTGCGTGTGCACTCATGATACCATATCCACTAATATAAAACTGGCCATTACAAAATGATCTTTCTTGGCTGTGTTTTAGTGAACTAGTATTTTGTAAAATACAGTCAAATTTGAATTATTATACATTATATATATACACACACACACATATTAATACTATTTACAAATAAGTTCTTAAACTTATTTTTCTTAAAACATGGAACAGTAAATAAAGAAGTAAATCAAACAATTATCTCTTCTAGTTACGACCTTTGTACTCGTTTGCTGCTTGTCATAGGTTGCTGAGCTTTATGAAATTTCCCATGTGGAGGATGTGGAAAGTAATTTTTTTTTAGGTTTTATATATATACATTTTAAATAACCAAAAAAAGCATAAGTTACTATATTCTTACCATAGAATTCCACTATAATTTATTAAGCTTAATAACTAAGCTGTATTTGGGTCTAATAAAATATGAAATTTCAAGCTCACTAAAGACTTGTCTTATCGGTTGAAATCTTGTGTGAAAAAAACAAGATTAACACAATAATGCATCAAAATGGCTGAGAAAACTACTAGGGGACATTTTGAGCTTTCGATTAGTTATTCATGTCATATATAGAAGTAAGTTTATACAAGGGAGCATTTCAAAAAATGTAAAGAGGTGGGTAAAAGGCAACTGTGTTTGATTCAGTACATGAGCAATATCTTAGCAAATAGAAAGTATAAGATATTCTTATTTTATATTCTAGCTTGTTAATATTGGAAGTTTGAGTCCCTAATTCGTATGACACTAGAGACTTTGTATTTTGACATCACAAACATCTAATTTGAACCATTGCTGCATTCAACATACTATGTGACACACAAAAATCAATGTTTAACGGGTTTTTTTTAATATTTACATTAATATTAAGAAACTAACTAACATATAATACTAAAATATGAATTATAATCTACAATTTGACATAAATTCATAAAATGGCAGTTTAATAAAATTTTGAATGCAAGTCTACAAATGCGATGACATGGCCTTTGACATGTGACCCATTGCGATAGGGTTAAGGTAAATAAGATAATACTTGTGTTTAGTTACATTATTCTTCCTTTTTTATTTAAAAATATTCTTTAGTATAACATAGAAATATCTATGAGGAGGAAATACATTATTTTTAAAAGACTTGTAAGGTTTTTACAGTTTTTTGTGCATTTTAGATGCAGAGTTGTGTAGTTTGATATAGTGAAGGAAACAACATAAAAGTGCAATAACTTCTAAATCCATCTAAAGATAGAGAGATTACATAGCATTGAAACCATTGATGTACTCACAAAACTTATGCCAAGGAAAAATATCTTCTAAAAATTCATGGTAAAGCTTAAAAGTAATTATTCCTTTAGTGTGTATAACCATAAAGTAGTTAAAGATAGTCTACATAAAGCATATTTTCTGTAATGTAAATTATAATATACATGTACATTGTACTGATATCTTTCACTTTTTATATTTTTCATTTTATATGTTAAAGATACATTTCTCTTTTTATTGCTCTCTTACTATTCAATGAAAAGTTTGACATTTTGATGGATTTTTGTTTTTCAGTGAATTTCTGTTTGTAATATTTAACTTTAGTTTTAAGTACATATTTTTTTCACGTACAGAATGTTGAGGAGCTGATTGAGAAGACTGTACCATCAAGCATACTACATCGAAAACTTCTTAATATGGATCATCCATTGGGTATGTTTGAAGCAAAACTGAAACCCAACTCACACTTTTTTTGGTTACTTTCCTTTGATATCTACAGTGGCTGGTTATTTGTTAAATCGTAATAAAATTAAATGTAAAATTGCAATGTCATTTTGGATGTTAAAAGCATCATTCCTTCTCCTAAACTTCCTACTATGATTAGTTCATTTTTGGCTAAGTGATATTTTTTAACATGATTGTGTCACAACTTGCTATGATCACCTACTGCCTAACTCATGAAACTGTTCTAAAGGGTTAGAAACTTTGCTTGAAACAAAGTCTGCATCTGAATACATGTACAGAACTAAAAAAAGGAAAAACTTGTGATTATTTATATTTTGTTATTGTATCGCAGATTTTCCAAAGTGGCTTGTTTGATTTTTTTCAAGCAATTCAAATATATTCCAGTAAGAATGAAAAACACTGTAGGGATGAGATGCTACACGTAACTGTAAATTAAACAAGTTTCAAGTTTACATAAAGTTGATTTTGCTGTTAAATGTTTGAAAGTTGAGAAAGTATGAGCTAATTGTTTTGTTCCTTTTCTTGTTTGGAGCCCAAAGAAAAAAAGTCTACTTATATCCCTGTGGTTGTTACTTTCTTTTGTGATTTATTCATTATTTTATTAATTAGATTTATTAGTTAGTTACTTCTAGTTAACTTACTTAGTTATTTATTATTATATATATATATATATATATATATATACTATTATTAATTAGTTAT